GTACAGCAATCCCTTCCCTCGCGACTTACGAAGTCGATTATGGTATACTAACAAACGAGCTTTGCAGCGCATCGCTTTCATCCTAGACCAGGATTTATTTAGTGAGAAAAAAGCTCTGTCGGGACTCGAACCCATGACCTGGCCCTTAGCAGGCTGCGAGGCTACCCACTAGACCACCGGGGCGACCGGTATGTAAGGTGCTATATACTATGTACCCGGCTGATGTTGCGCCCTGTTTCCCTCCCTGCTGTATGCTATACTCCTTTATGAAGTATGTCCTTTTTATTGCCTTCGGCCTCTGTGCCGTGTTTCTTTTTTTTCATGACCTCCCTGCCTACTCTGCTGTGTTGGGTACTTTGATCTCGCTTTGCTGTTGCCTTTGTTTTTGTACGTCTGGCTGCCTGCCCATCCATCTGCCGCCTCTTTGCCCTGTTTTCTCCGCTACTCCCATGCCCTGGTGCGCAGTGCCTGGACCAGGTGCTGGTACGTTACCCTTTGATTTTTTCTTTGGGCGGGTGTGGGAAGCGTCCTCCTTTATTTATTTTTCTGTTATTTTTGTTTTGTTTTACTTTGATCGGTGTTCGAGGGCTCTTTTCCCGAACGGTCGGTGCGATACCTGTCCTTTTCTTTCTTTGTTTTCTTTTTCCGAGTTGTTTGTACCCTATTTTTGTTTTTTTTTTGTTTTCTCGCGGCGTCGTATGTGCCGGGTTTTGAGACCACGGCCTCCCCATTTTTTGTGGACAATAGAGCTAATGTGAGAAACAATAACAACAACAACAACAACAACAACAACCCAGAGGGGCAGACGACAGAGTCCAATGATGGGAGAAAAACAACAACAAAAACAACCCTCTTTTTTTCAACTGGTCGACTGTTGTTTGGATGGCAAGACGATTTCCGGTTTTCTTGTCCGCCACAGGCCACAGGAGGCCGAAGCTGATGCTCAAACTCGGGGAAGAAGGGTCACGGTTTGCGATTCCCTACCGAACCATACTCGCTCGGGGTACCACGTCATGGACATGACAAGGAAAACATCCCCCGCTGAAATTCATGGGTGGGTGAGTGGGGGACCCCAAAACAGTGAAACAGCAGTGAGTGGCGGTTCGCGTTGTTCTGGGGCTTTACCGGCGAAACACCGTCGTCGCCGCTCTGAACCGCTGGAAGTTTTCTCACAGCACTGCATGTGCGGCGAACCGTAGGGGCCATGCGCATTGCTTGACGGAAAGAGGCGGCGCCCATCGCCTCACATGTAGGAGCCAGGTACACACGGGTAGCCTCCTACTCAGCAAGATGCAAAACGATTGCCGTTGACGTTCGATGTTATCGAAAATGCAACAGAGAGAGAGAGGTAAGACTAAAGGAAGAGAGACTCGAGAAGTCAAGGCATGAACTCTCGAGAAGACACTCACTCTCATCCCTCTGGCCCACCGCAGGCTTGAACACGTGTACCGAACGGCGCCATCCGATGTGCGCTCAGCAACAACAAACGCGACAAAAGAAAAATAGTACCAGTCGTTTCCGAACTGCTTTGGATATGCTGTAAGTTGATGTAGACGGTTTTTCTTTTTTGGTAGGAAGTGGCAACAAAGAACTCGACTATAATATCTGTGTTGACTAGAGACACGACGGACGAACTATTATTTCAATGTGCTTGCCGTTGCGATAGATGCGCACCGCCACCGCTGTACGAAACGAGCAGACTGTTGTCAAACCTGACTACGGTAAGCGTACGACCACTGAAGCACATTCCGAGCACGCAGCAGCAACCGCAGCGGCAGCCGCATGTGTACAATGACCACTCAAGAACAAACGCAAAAAAAAAAGATGTGGCGAGCAGCACGCAGGACCCTCTTCCGCTGTTCAACCGGCCGTTTCCATGGCGAACCAGGCAAGGAACAGTCAAGGCCGACTCTTGCCGGCCACAGGAGGCGGAAGCTGCTCAAACTCGGGGACGGCCCATGATTTGCGATTCCACACCGAACCATACTCGAGGCGCCACGAGATTTGCACTGTAGCTCGAGATCAGCATTTTAGACCGTGTCGGGCAAGGGGTGGGGCATGCGAATAAAACTTCCACGGATATTATTGATTGATGAGACTGAAGCAAAAGGTTCAGAACCTGTACCTCTCTTGTTGTTGTTGTTGTTGTTGTTTTCACATTAAACCGTATGTCAAATGCTAATGCCAAAATCTAGCAAAGACTTTCATTTCAGCCCGTGGTCACGAGAGTGCTAGAGCCATCTGAGGATCTCAAAGTACCTCTCTGTTCAGTACCATTTCTCTTTTACACGTGTTATCGCCCTCATCGCCCGTCTATTTTGCATGTCTTTGTACCGGCCGGTCCAACCGACGAGGACACATCCCGTGGTCACAAATGAAGCGATCGATGGCATGCCACCAACGAACGTCGCGCCCTGGTCGGTTGTCAACGAATCAACCACATCGATCGATCGACGTTGAAAGTGTCAATTCGAGACACTTGTGACTATGCCGGGGGTTGTGTCATAATTTTCATACGACGCAACGTGTGACACAGCAACACAAGTACGTACGCCGGTAACCATGAGATGGCCCTTCACCCTTGCACGGATGGATGATGGTAACGAAAGTCTTGAGAACAATGTGTCGTGTTACATTAATAACCCGTGTTTCGAATGAATTAATTCATCCTCACGACCCCCCCCCCCTCCTAAACACAACAATCACACACCACACTGCACCACAGTACACTGCACCCCGGTTCCGCGTGGGCGGAAAATCGAACAAACACTTATCAGTGGGCAAATCTACTCAACAATAACTCTTCCCGCGCCAGTGCTCGAAATAAGCGGAAACAGCGAAACAAACATAGCACTGTCAAAACTGGCGCAACAAATAATCCTTCTCTACATAGATAGGTGGGCATCAAGTAACCAATTCATGGGCCCCCTCCAGTCAAAACGAAAGGTACGAACGAACCCTCCCCCACGAACGCACACGTAGAGATATCACACAATTGGTCCTACAGAGCGCTGGCTTGGAACACTGCATGCACCCTGCTGCTGCATGTTCGCCAACTACAACAGTACACGACGCGCTACCACCTGCGGAGGACAAAGACAACCAACCACAAACAAACTCCGCCTACCTTTGCCGACATATTCTCCAAGGAGAGGAAAGAGCAGAGACAAAACGAAATGACTCGATTTGAAAAATTCCATGGCCTTACGACCACACTCAATTAACTTAGTTTCACGAGCGAGACTAAAATTAAACTAAAACAGCTGAAAATCACGTGGTTCTTTCTCTTGTCAGCGCCGAGATGCTCGAAAAGACAGCAGGGTTGGGCCGGTGCGTAGCCAGCTGTTGTATCTTACGCCGCACGCTTGGACGAACTGTTGCCAAAAAGCCAACAAGCAATTTTAACATACCAGGTCGAAATGTCAAGAGGAGTGAACAACACAACAACTGCGCGACACCTCCCATCAAACGCAAACCCGCAACTGACAAGGACAACACGTTGTATTTTACCTTTTTACCACAACTTTAACTTTACCGCCATCATGTAACTTCTATTCCGTGCCGATCGTGACCCCCCCCGCCTGCGTATCCTTCTTGGGGCTGCTACTGCCACCGAAGAACAAACCCTTGAACGGGCTCCGGAGAGGGCTCTTCCACCCGCCCTTCGCCTGCTTGCTTGACGCCGCCGCTGCCGCCGCAGTAGCAGCGCGTTCCTCTTCCTCCTCCGCCTCCTGCTGATCCACGAAGTCCACCTTGACCCGGAGAGGACTGCGGGGCCCGTTCGGCCCAGGACTGTGAGCTCCCCTCGATTTCGCCGCCACGTACGTGCTGCTGCTGCTGCTGCCGCTGTAGGCGCTCGGCTCCATCCCCTCTTCGTCCTCGTTGCCCCCCCCGAAGAACGACGCCCCTTTCCATGGGCTACGGAGGGGAGAGCGCGGTCCGGGGCTCCGCGGTCCCCTGGTCATACCCCCCCCCCCGGGGCTGTATCTCGCCACCCCCACCCCCGGGCTGCGAGCAGGACCCGGCGAGCGCGAGCGCGAGCGCGGCGTCGGGCTTCCTCCTCCAACCCCCCCGCGAAACGGAACACATTCCTCCTCACGGCCGCGGCCGCCGCGCGTGGACGGGCTCCTCCCTCTCTCTCTCGCCGCCACGGAGCCGCTAGCGCTCCTCCCGCCGTTGTTGCTAGTATCGTTGGCCACGGCGAAGAAGGCACCTCCCGAGGAAGGGCTCATGTTACCGCGGGATGGGGAACGCGGGCCGGGGCTGTTCGCACGAGGGGTCGGGCTGCTGGCGCGGGGAGTCGGGCTGCTGGCGCGGGGAGTCGGGCTGCTCGCACCAGACGCCGCCGCCGCCGGGCCGTTGACGCGAGGGGGCGGGCTCCTGGACCTTGCCCACGGCGCCGGCTGGCTGCCCGCTTCTCCTCCCCGGGGAGGGCTGCGGGTCAAGCCGACCCCGCGGGGAGCGGGGGCGGGGCCAATAGGGGCAGCGGTGGGCGCGGTCTTCTTGGTCTTCTTGGGGGAAGTGGGCGCCGCCTTGCCTTTCTTGTCGTCGTCCTCGTTCGAGCCGAAGAACGAGCCCTTGAAGGGGCTCCGCAAGGGAGACTGCAGGGAGGTGGTGGTCTTGGAGCCGCTGCCGTCCTTGGGGCTGGAGCCCGTGCGGAGGGGCGAGCGCAGCGGGGACTGCAGGTTGTTGAGGGTCTTCTTCCAGGGAGACTGCGGCGGGGTGGCGTTGGGGGTGCAGACCTGGTTGTCGGACTTGACGTAGCGGTGGCAGTGCGGGCACTTGCCGGACATGAATGGCTTGCCGCCAACAGTGGAGTACCTGTTACCACGACGAGAAAGAGTTTGGGGGAGGGAGAGTCGAACGAACGGGTCAGTTGTGGTGATCGGAGGGGCGGGGGTGCGAGGCAACGGATGACTTGTTCTAGGCGGGCAGGAGTGTCTTCCTTTTATGTAGTGTATTTGATTGACGTCTTTCTTGGGACGGGATCCCAGCGGGAGGTTTCCCGTGGAGATTTTGAGATTTTGTGGTATTTGTTGGATGGGGCGGTGGTGCCACGACAAGGGATAAAATAATTCCTACCGCAACACATCTAAAAAAAGAGACCAACGCGGACAACCTTCGCAGGTACAGACAAGCCTTGCGCGCTCCCCGCCCGCGCTGAGAGGGAAAAATAACCAAATACCTAGTTCCTAGAGGTATTTTCTCAAGAGGTCCATATGCTCCCCCGAGGCGGGATGAAAATAGTCACCCTTTTTCCCCCGCGCGCGAGAAACGAACAACGAAAGCCTTTCCAATGTACTCGCAGGTCCGAAGTTTGTTCAGAGTTCAAGTTTAGTTTTGGACTATGGACATGTGCGGAGTATGTTGTCGAGGGGCGAGCACTGTTGGAAGAAAGCTACGTTGTATTGCAGCACCAACCCACACGCGCAACAACGAACACAGCAGCATCGGTAGCGGCAGCAGCAGCAGCTAATGCTCCTTGAGGAAGGAGAACGTCGTCTATTCCCCTCGGGTCCGTCTGAATCGGAATGTTTCACGTTTACGTGTGTGTCAAATGTTTTTTCCTAGGACCCCCTCCCTTCCTCTGGACATGTTCCATCTTCGAGAACAATGCTGCCGTTCACCGATCGCTCTCTCTTATTTTTCTACACATGACGTTCCCCGGCCTACGGACATGGCACATCGCGTGACAACGAATGGCCAGCCACAGAGCAACATAAGCAAGCAGCGCCACAATGGCGGATTGATGGAAGATTCTAACCTCTCTCTCGCCCCCAAAATCATCAGCTGAAAATCATCACTCACCCGACAGTCCGGACGTGCGCGCAGAACTCGCTCTGGGTCACTTCCTCGTCATCATCTACCCCGTTGAAGTACTTGCAAGACGTAGGCTGGGGAACTTCGGCGTACTCCATGGCCAGGGGCCGGAACTTGGCGTTGCGCAGCGGCGAGGGTACTCTCCGCTGGCTGCGCGGGCTCCGGTCTCCTGCTCTGGAAGGGCTGCTTCCTTCCCGCAGGTGCAACTTTGGCAAGGGCATCGCGCGCTCCATGACGGGCATCCGGCTGTACGTCCTGCTGTTGCTGCTGCTGAGAGTTTGGAACCTGCTGCAAAAGGGTATGGGGATCATGGAATGCCGCTGTAGCTACTTTTGCTGATGTGGGTATGCGAGGGCTACACGCCAGCTGTGAGCGCTCGTGAGCAATGATGAGTGCTTGAGATGACGCATCCTAGCCGGAGCCCGCATTTTCATTGGATGAACAAAACAAGCACAGAGCCGCCTGTCTGTTACGCACCTCACTTGTTGGCGATGGAAGCTTGGGAACTCCGCGTGCTTTCAGATATTCTGTCCAGCTCGGATGGTTTGTGTTATGGCGCACTTAGGTGTGGTGTGGTGTTTCCTCTCCCTCGATGGCTCGAAACAATTTTGGAGGACCCTAAAAGTTCAACGGCAATTTTTATTGTTTCGCCGCGTGGTTCCCAACACCATTTTTGTTGCTGTTCGGGACGCGGGTTCCATGTTTTTCTCTCCGTGTTTCTTCACAGCATCAAGTACTTTCTGCAGATTCGAGAACTATGCAACGCTCATCCCGTACAATGTAGTAGCACGCTATCCCTTCACGCGCGGAAAGCCTGGACGCCAAGAAGACGAAGTAAATCTGATCGAACAGCTACATGTAGGGACCGCTTACGACCAATCTTGGATGCGTGGAAGTCGAGGTTTCCGGACGCGTACCACTGGAGTAGCACATTCGCTTTCTGTTGTCGATATCTAGTCTAGCGAGGAAGTGCCAAGTATGACCGAGTGGAGTCAGCACACTAAAGCTGTAATATGGTGTGAGGAAGCAACACCTTTGCTGTCCACACCAAAAATTGGCTTATGTGAACATGCTTGATTTTCCAGTGCGGTAACAGCCGTTGGTATTGAACTGTTACATCGAACAGTGAGTTGATTGCCGCCTGGTCTATATGACTTTCTAAGCGTGCAGCAGGCCTGTCGTAACAGCAGTATGCCACGGGAAATTTTGTCGAAATAGCAACAAGAGGACCAGCGACAACATAGAAAAGGAACAAACTCACTTGCGCATCGGAACAACTCCCCGTGCCCATTCAGAGGTAATTGGCGACGACATGTGTATCTAATCATTTTGCTGGGGGGCTACAGTACTCAAACATCGGGAAAACTGTCCCCACCAGTATCTCCGCGTTGACCACTGGTTCTGGTGCGCTTCGTCGTAATGCCAAAACCAAAGATAATCGAACGTCAAATAAACTCCAGTTTATCAGATGAAAAGTATTGGTCAGGTACGTTCCACTCATTTCGTGAAGTCCGGCCTCTTGCAACCTACCAGGAACTCTCACCACACCAAAAACAAACGTATTGAACCCACAAACACAACAGGCTGCATCTACTCTACTATCTTGCAGCCGCTAGTAATGCTGACCCGGGCCCAGCCTCCATCGGACCTTTGATTTGTACTGTGTATGGCTCCTTGTTGACGGAGTCATCCTCTGGTACTCCTTCATCTGACCCCGTTGTTATCATGTCGCTGTTGCCTCCCTGCGATCCGTCGGAGCTCCTTTTATGCATACCCGCCTTTGCTTTCTTCGCCGTCAGACGCTTCTTGGTCGCGCTTGGAATGAGCGCGTTTCGCTTGATGATGGCTTGTCGGATCTCCTGTTTGCATTTAGTTACATTGAATTGTTCGTGGTGTCATGTTTAAGCACCTTTTACTTGGGGTCGCCGCGGGACACCTAAGCTAGAACACGGTGGTTAACTCGGCATTTCGCGAACGCTGCCCTATTTACCTTGGCGCCTTCCTTGTTGGCAAAGCGTGCGGTAGGTGTCGACGACGCATGAAATTGATTCCAATGTGGCTCAAGTGGTATACTTTAGTGGATGTGCCCTGGCTCCGTGGAAGCCTTAGTGAACGAGCCTATAATAACTCTTATCGGCGCCACGATCTCCACGCGATGCGCCTTAACGACGGTGTGTGTGGCTGGCATCACATTGAATCGCTAAGGTCCCCTGTAACGCCTTCTTGTACAACGACACTCATTGCCCAGTAGATGGTTCAAGCTTGCCTGGTCTCGTTGGAAGATAATTCCCGCTAAGAACGCCTCCTCGGTCTCCCCGTCCCTCTGCCTCTGCTCCACGGTAAGGGCCATCTGCTTGCTCTTCACCTCCCGGGCACAATCGAACGCTCTTTCCAGCATCGTGTCTAGTACCAGCGCGTCGGCTGCGATCGGGTTAATCCCCTGCGCATCAAGCTCTGCCGCCACCTTCGTGGGTCGTGGGTGGAAATGGATGGCGGGGACGCAACACGATTTTTACGACGTCAAAAAGAAAATGGGCGAGGGCCGCGATGGTAACCTACAATAAGATCTATGCGATTTTTAGCACGATAATGTATTGCAAGGAGCGAGATACCACACAGCGGGAACTTTGGCTAGGTGTGGAAGGTTATCGCAACAGCGCAGCACAACACGCGGCGTCGACAAATCACAGCGTGCTCACCCCTTGCCAGATCTCCCCGGCCCTGAAGTCCAAAAAACTCGCGGCCATGTACGAGGCCTTGAGGTCGCTCGGATCCAACCCATCCGTCGTGTTGCCGTTACAAGCCACCATCCCCAACACCGCCGCGATTTTCCCTCTTAAGTCCAAGTGTGACACGGCCTTCGCCACGGACGCCTCGGCGTCAATATGAGCGCCTCTCTTCCTCTGGCTGCCGCCACCCCCGCCCCCGCCTTTCTCCATCGCCACTGCCCGCTTGCCGGCCTCAAGCGCGAGAGAAACCGCGTAGGAATGTCGCCTGCTGGCCTCCTCGTGCACACCACCATCATCGACACCCGCAAGCGCCAAAACGTCTCTGTCTTCTTCCGTCGTCGACTGGTTCGGGAAAACGTCACCGTTGAGCAGAACGCCACCCTGAGGGGTTCCAGATGACGTCTGGTTCAGGGAAACAACCTGAGCAGCGTCGGTGCTTTCAGCGGTTGTCCTGGAGAGAAGGGCGTCGGCGGTGGCCGTGCCGCAGTCGCTCGTCAAGCTAGTGCTGGAGCCGTTTGCCGCCTCCTCCCCGGTGGTCGGTCTCGACCGAACGCGCCTAGCAGGCGTTTTTCTCAGGCTGCGGTGGCCGCGCTGACGGTCGTGAGACTTGAGCGGCTCCCACAGATTTTGCAGGACGCCGTTCGGGCGGGACACTCCGAGCCGGCACTCTTCTGCCACCCACAAACGCACCATCAGCTGGGTGACGCTGAGCATGTTCAGGTCGCTCCGCCAAGCCCTTGCGTACGGGATGGACCGCTTATTTCGAAGTAGGTCGGCGATGATACCTGTCACCTGTGTGTTTTCCAGTACGCGCAAGGGAGTGCGTGCCATCACGCCGGAGTCATGTTACACTCTAGGCTGTTGCGATGTCGATCCCAGCTTTGAGCACCACACTCGGGGGCAGAGAAGGCCAATTTTTTCGACATCACCCTAGACACATGGGATCATTATTAAGTCCAACCGACCTGACATAGAGGTCCCAGCCTTGCGGAAGTTGTTGCTCCAAAAGGGAAAGTTACCGAGAAAATGCGCATCATTCAGAGATCGAACTTCGCATTTGTCCTACCTACACTTGCATATCGTTGGTGAATCAAAACAAAAGTCCGCAGACCGTCTGCACCATATTCCAAATCATATTGAGGCAAAGGCAAAGGAGCACCAGGGCCACACCGCTCCCAACTACTATACGCCCTGCAGTCGTGATTGCATGGGCCGTGCATCTACCCCTCCATCCCGCCACGGCCACCTGATGCCGCATGAAAGCGGGGCACAGCTCCAACAGGTCCAGAAGCGTATCCAGCCCCTCACACTGCAGCAGCCGTGCCTCGCTTCGACGGTTGCCCACCACGGCGCACCAAACGCAGTCAATAATGTGCACCAGCGACGGGTCCAGCCGCTCATCGCCGGAGCCCCCACCCCCAGACTCCATACCCCCGGCGCTACACCCACCACCCATAGACGATCCGCCTCCAGCATCACTCCCGCCACTCCCGCCTCCTCGTCCTTCTCCTCGGTTTGAGCTGTCGGTCCCTTCTTTTTGCTTGGCTTCGCTCCGCGCTCGGCAGTACGCCCTGACCGCGGCCATCATTATCGGCACCCCGTCGGCTTTCCTGAACGCCTCCTGGTTCTCCGGGCACTCTTCGCACAGCCGGCACAGGATGATCACCATGTCGGTACGCACATCACCGGCACCCTCGCCGCCGCCGCCGCCGCCGCCGCCCCCGCTGCTACCAACGCTACCGCCACCCACGCCTCCGACGCCACTCCCTCCGGCCCCGTCCCCGCCGCCTTGCTGCTCGCGCTTCGACTCGTCGGAGAAGCGGTCGAGCATTATTCGCACCCCGTCCACGCGCCCAAGCTCTTCCTTTAGCCCCGGGAGACTTACCACGGTGGCCAGCATCTTGGTCGCCACCCTCACGAGCCGCTGGTTGTCGGGGCGCGACCCGAGGCGATCGAGGAGGCGAAGGGTGACCATATGCCCCCCGAGGGCCTGGAACTTCGCCGGGCTCTTGGGCGCGAGAACGAGGAGCGAAGCCATCGCCTGGCGCTGCAGGAGCTGGATCAGGGTCATGGGGAGGCGGAAGACGCTCGCGGGGACGAAGAGCTGCGCAACCCCGCCGATCCCCGGCGCCTCACCGCCGCTGCCCGAGGACGCCCGCCTTTTCTTCGGCGATTGTTGGGGGGCAGCACCACCTGTCCCGTTGTGCTCGGCTGAGGTCGTCGAACCCCCCGAGCTCTTACCGCCCGCACCCGTGCCGTTTGCCAAGGGGTGGTGGTCGCCGGAGATCGGGGCGCTGACTGAAGGGGGCGCGGCCGACGGTCGGTTGTCACCCCCAACCTCCGAGCCGCCCGCTCCGCTAGAATTTCTCTTGAAGCCACCCGCTCCGCCCGCTGAAGAACGCGGAGAAGCCGAGGGTCCGACGGTTGTTGTCGGAGAGTTCAGGTGGTGACCGCTTCCCAGGGGAGGCAAGGACGCTAGCGAGATCGAGCGGCTCATGCCCGGAGGAAGAGCGTCGCCGCTCTGGCCCTCCTCGACCACGAGGTCCATGTACATCAAGAGCGTTTCCATCAGCGGCGACGCGTCCACCACCTCGATGTTGCGAGCGTCGCGCTTGCACAGGTCCGTCAGCAGGGACCACAGCAGCAGCTTCAGCTCCATGTCCACCTCCTTCGGGGTGGCGAAGTTTCTCGGGTCCGCGAGAGGCCCTAGCTCGGGTACCCCTGTCCGGCCTCCGTCGCTGCTTCCGCCGCCGTCCGTGCATGCCACCGAGAAAGTGTTTGCTTCCAGTTCCACGGCGGCGGGGTTGCCGTCAGCTAGCCCGGTCTCGATGGCGGTGGCGTACCGTAGCAACAGCAGCAGCATGCCGGTGCTTCGGAAGAGAGGATGGCTGCGGCCGTTGGTCAAGAGCTGGCTCGCGACAATCACGGCCTCGTTGCGGAGCTCCTTGTCCTTGTTACGGAAGCCTCCGAGCAAGAGAGTCTCCACCGTGTCTCGAAGGGCCGAGACGCCGTTCCAGCTCGAGAGCGCGAACGCGGCGTTGCTCTTCCTCGCTTTTCGGATGAGACTCGTGCGACTCTTCGCCGCGGGACCGCTGTCCATCGCGTTTTGGCTGTGCTCGAGGCAGTTCCACATCACCTCCACCGTGATGGAAAGCGTGGGGTCGCGGATTCCTCTGACGGCCCGTATCACTTGCACGAGGAGAGCTGCAATCCCTTCCTCGACCATCGCCGCCGAGGAGTTAACGTCAGTCGACAGCTCCCGCACAAGCTGTAGCAGAGACGAGAGTACAACATATTTCAGTGCCAAGCTTGAAGATTTTCCTGCCCTGCCATCACCGCCGACCTCCGCATTTTGGGGTTCAAGCTCGTCGTGGGCTTTCGTTGCGGTGCTATCGACTTCGTCGCCGTCGTCATTTTTGTCGTCGGCCTGTTCCGCGTTGTCGAGATCGTGATCACCGCCGGGCTGAGGCAAGCCGGTAACCTCCAGAGCAGAGGAAGCCTGAACGATTTCGTCAACAGCACCCGCATCATCACCGCCGTCGAAGCTGCTAGAGTCGAAGGAAGAATCTTCGTCGAGCTCGGCAAGGCTCGCCGAAACACCGCCGACAACCGCGCCGAGGCAGGCGACGGCCGAAGTCACGACCCCACACCCCAGCAGCAGGGCCTGGTTGATGTCCTTAGACTTTGGTCGGAGGTCGTCTCGGCACTCACCGAAACGGTGGTTGTTTTCGTCGTCCGGAGTGTTCGGTCGGGTGGGGTCATTCCCGGCGGCAATCTTCTTCAGAGCGACGGCGGTTGCTGATTGGATACCGGCGTCGGGTGACCAAAGCAGCCCTCCTAGCACATGAAACAAGGAACTCGCGGCGGTCAAGCCGCGTTCGGTGAACTCTTGGTTGGCACGATCGCGCACAGGGGCAAGCGAACATATGTCCAGTAGTTTCAGAAGAAAGCCGCGGAACTCGCTAGCTTGGTGCCCGTGAGTAACCCTGCTCTCGACCAGGGGCAGAAGGCGCTCGACTAGAGCTAGTTCTCCATAGCGAAACCTACAGTAGAGAGCGAGCAATGAAGCAGGCATGAAGGGAGGGTTGGTACCAGACGTCGGGTCGAAAGACAGATACAGGAGGGAGGCAGTGTACGGTGGTTTGAAGGTTGCACTCGGTTCGCGTATCTCGTCTGCTCTGCGCGGTTACTGCCTCTGGGACAGATGGGTCCGGCGAAGGAACTGCAAGTGCGCGCTCTCGTGCATCACATCATAGCAACCTCTTTATTGCCGTCCTGCTGCTGTTTTGCAGAACTGATACATTCAACATTTGAAGTATTATCGGCATGATATGGACCTGTGTGGACCTCCACCAAATAACCACCTTAGACAATACCCGTTGGGCTAATTCCAATTGCCACTTGCTTGCCGGCGACCACCGGCCCTCCTAGACAATGTCGTGGTAGCCTACCTGTAGTAGCGCACACCCCACAGCTTTCGCTCGCTGGTATACGACGACAGCTACCCAATGGCCTTCATCGTGGGTACCACCACAGCACATGCTGCACCTCACATGCTTCACCAACTACAGTACATCCTCAAATACTTAAGACTACCGAAGTCACGAAGTTTGCAGCAGTCCGCTACATACATGCAGCAGTCCGCTCACCCTCGTTGTCGGACCTTGCACACCTGCCGAAGGACGACGAGCTGCCGCTCAACTATTTCAGCGGTATCCTCGTTAGTGAACAATTGAATAAGCCTCTCCATATTGCTTCTCCCACCGCCGCCGTCGTCAGTATTGAGTGCTGCCGCTGTCGAAGCGCTGCCGTGTCCGAAACTTCCCTTGTGGTAACTTTCGTTCCACGAAGGCGCTCCGTCGGCTGCAGCTGCCGTTGAATCTTGGGGGGCCGACATGCCCAACACCTTTATAACCTTCGCTTGAAGAATGTTCCTCTTGCATGGGTCATCGCATTCCCTATGTGCATCCGTCGTCGCTCACCGAAACCACAGCCGCCGTCGAGAACCGAACGGCGTGAAGAAGCACAATCGACGAAATGTAGAAAAAAAAACACGTCGGTTACAACATGCCTCCAAACCTCGATGCAACGTTGACTAAAATGACTCACTGAGTTTGATTAACAAACAACGGGCAACGTGAGTATCGCTACTGATCCCAGCCCGCAGAGGAGCAGGATGCGTCTTTCTTCAAGCGTCGCGTTGGGGGTGGGTTGTGTGTCGATGGTGCAGGTGTCTTCGTTCGCGTTCATACCGTTGGGGGCAACACCATCAGGGTGCACATCTTGTACAGCACACTCGTCACAGGTGAGGTTGCATCTGGCGTACACACCCCGTCTTGAGGGAGAGCGATCGTAGGCTCTCAATACGCACGTAGCGCAGCAGGTGTCCGTAGGGCCAGCTAGCCAGCGCAAAAGGCAAAGAAGTGCTATCCTGGTCGACGTCAAGGCGCTAAAGTCCAACCTACGCAGTTGCACATGGCCGTTTTTGTTTGGAGCGGGTGACGCCTAGGAGCGTGTGTTCATTATGATCAGGCCCTTCTCTGCGTGTGCTCATGTATTGATTGGGCCGCTCCTCTGTTGCAGTAGCAGCCGCTTCGGAAGGAAACACAGCACTAGACTTTTCCTGCCTGTGCTTCGTATTGCTTTGCGCCAAGATGCGGCGGCTTTTGATACCATGCAACCGGTTCGTGGCGCAGAGCTTCTTCACGTGGGCAGATATTGCATCACTACTGCTGTACACGTACGATGTCAACGAATACATCAGGTAGGTTGATTTTCCGAGTTGAATCGAACTCCTCGTGCAACGGCCTTCGCATACGCCTGCTCATGAAGCGCCCCCTGGCCTACAGACTTGTCAAAGGGGGCTGACGCTATGCAATGCAGGCACCTATGGTCCTGAATCGCGGCAAGCCTTTCGAGAACAGACGAGGGGCAATCGCTTTTATCTTACAACTCCCTTCCTCGTATGAAGTTAATCCTCCTATGTACATTGTGGTCACTGCTTTCGACCCTCAACGCTCATTGGCTCGCCAGACAACCGCTGCACCACCACACAGACAGCACTACTATAGTCGCTGATCGTTATCATAGCATGCTCCTGCAAAAAGTGCGGTCAAAGCTTAATCCGTGACAACGACACGATAGTTGTGGAAGAAACGCAGCAGTGGGGTGATCATGTTTGCTCCACTGGCTGCGGCTGTGTATTTTTCCTTACACTGGTGTCCTGTCTGGAATTCCACCGCAACGTGTGCTTTGTTTCCAGTTGCAACAACCCAAGTGCGGCCACACTGCTGTGTAATGTGTCCATGGAGAGTATGAAAATGTGGAAAGGTTGATGGGTCAACTAGGATGCATCCTGCACTCCACCGTTATTGAGCCTGATGCCGCTGTACATGTGGTCGACTTGCGAATCGAATACTGGAACCAATATGTGGGTCACAATGTTGGGGTGCCGAGTGTTTCGCGTGTGAGGATCATCGATAAAATAATTTCAAGTAATCGGTCCTTTGCGTTACGCGTTGCCGAATACGAGAGTTGGCGTAGCTGAAGACCTCTCTCTCTCTCTCTCTCTTGCTACGCGCCAGTAGCTCTTTCGACGATTTCGAACGTTAACTCTCTGCAGTCAAATTGTCCATGCCCCCCCACGTCAGTTCGTCTGGGCCTTTGTCATAAACGAGTATGGCAACTAACCTGCCACGCTGTCAACTCATTGAAAACACTTACCTGAAGATGATCGACTCCGTTCATGATGAATGGTCCACAATATCGCTGCATCAGTCCCTGAAACATGTAAAATGGAGTGGGGCTAGGCTCGGCAATATTGCAATATTCAAGCCGGAGAGGTGACAGCCACAGACCCATCGGCTCCCGGCTTGTTGTCTTGTTTTTTGTTTTGCGGTGGTCAAGCTAAGGAAGAGTGGACGAAGAAGAGGGGCAACCCTTCACCCTGCCCGATGAAGTATGAAACACAGAGCACAAGTTTGACCTCTTTATGAGTTATCGTACTTCCAAGCATTAGCAAGCGCGTTGTGCTGCTGGGGGGCCGATCATCACATAGGTGATCGCATGCCGACTTTTAGAACCACAAAATAACATGTTTTGACAGAAAGTAAAATGAATCATCACATTGCAAACGAATGACAATCACGACGCCGAAACGGTAAATATTTTTGGTAGGGTTGGTAGTTCACAAGCTAGCACAGCGGCCGCCGGAAAAACGAACAAAATACATTGGAAACCCATCAGGGGATGGGAGAGTTCTATCCCCGAATGTGTGAGGTTGTACAACCGCGATAGGATCCGCCAAAAGGTTATATAACCGGTACATGGCGTGGTGGGTTCCGGGTTATGGACACCCCTGCCGTTTTCTTTTCCGACCGTCTTCCGCTCTCAACACCGCAGGCAACCAGCGGGAGTGGCAGCAGCTTGCGCGTACGGCCGGGCAGACTGTCGGTGGCCTTGTCCGCCGCGGACGGCGAGGGGGGCAGCGACTCGGGGGAAGACATGACCGACGATGATACCTCTAGCGCGGTGGCGACGAAGCCGAAGCGGAAGGTGAACGCGGAGTTGGACGACCTCGTCAGCGAGATGGCGGGAAGGAGGGACGACGATCCCATTGTCATTCCGCGTGGGGCCGGGATTGCGCCCATGGCGCCGGGACCGATCAAGCCTGATCCCATCCCCGGAATGGACGGTGAGCCACGCGTTGTACTCAACTGCTTTCGGAGGCCGCCAAAGCTCCGGTAGAAGGGTGAATACTCCTGGACTCAATGTATCATCAAGCTCAAATTTGAATGGGCCTCATCAGGATTTGATTTCTTCGATAGATACGACCCAAGCGGGCCCCATCCAACACCATCATTACCTGCCGGGTATTGTACTCTTGATGTGAAAGGGGGGGAGTTGTACAACCCCCAGGGTGGGTGGCGGAGGGGTGCCCAATACGACAGGCAGGAGTGCCGGGTCGGTCTGGTCATGACCATGTGCCGCGTGTTTGGTCTGGGAGGAGAGTGTGTCGAGCGCACCGCGCTTGTTCATGCCGTTGGCAACGAAAGATTCTGCACGCGTTGGGTGGACTTTCAAAGCTCGAGTAGCTCTGCAGCAAGGAAAAAGACGGCGCCGAAGATGGCGGCGTTGGAACCATCTCGTCGAGAGCTTCCGAACATGTATCGTTTGGTTGTTGCATCCTCTTCGTCGTCTTGGGGTATTGGGGCTTTGAAAATGGGTCCAGGGGATGCGCTAGCTCACGAAGTTGGAAGCACACGTGATCGGTTGTATACAAGACGTAAATACCTGCCTGCATGACCGTGAAACCGTTTTTTTTAGTGTATTGCACGCCAGCAGAAATGCCCAGATTCCCATGGAAGCATCGACACGTTGTTTCACCACGCCATGGTAAAACACGTAACGGGCGATTGCCGCAATGTCTGAGAACCTTCTTTTTCCTCCCACGCGATTCGTGCTCACTTATATAGGGATTAGTGTTCTGGACTGTTTATGTTGTCTCACCTAAACGGTCAATGTTGTGCGTTTCGACAATGACAAAAATACCGCTTGCAGACGACGACATCCCTGGCAAGATCGTGCTGCCGCCGGAAGTGCTCGCGGAGCAACAGAAGGGGCTCGAGAAGATCGCTCAGCAGCTAAGGAGGGAGCGGCTTGACAAGGAGGCGGAGGACGCAATCACCTTCGGGTTCTGCCCCAGGGCAGAGCTGTGGAACGGGAGGTGTGTGTGTACATATGTGTGTGATCTTCTCATCTACTCTGGCGCCAGTCTCCATACCTTTCGGTGTATGGTTCAAACATCAGCCGGAGTCACAAAAGGAAAGTCACACCGGATTTTTGTGGGTGTGTTTTTGTTGTTGGCATCGACGTCACTAACCGGCTGACCAATGAAGAGACGCCATTCTCAGTGCGGCTGACAACACAAAATGCTTCTAGGGGCTACCATGGTCTGGGACCCCGTGAGGGGACGTCACGGGAGAGGTGTCTGTGTGTGTAGAGTGTGTATGTTCTTGTCATCTACTCTAGCGCCAGTTAGTCTACGCACCTTGCGGTGTAGATGTTTGATGGATCAGCCGGAGGCACACAGGATTTGTTGTTTTCTGCACGTGTTGCTTAAATACATACATCGATCGTACTACTGGCCAAGGCAACGGCGCCAATGTCACTGGATACAAGTAACATCCCAGCACAGGGATCTAAGAAGGGCGTGTGAGTGTGTCTTTGAGCAGTGTCTTACGCCCTAATCGGGTGACCTATGGAAAAATATATTGGCCACCAAGGTAGAAATCAGCATTCAATTTCGAACCACACCCAGAACACCACAGTTGGACTTTCTGAATCACACCGGCGTGCCTACCAATGTATTACGGTACAAGTCTTGTGAGCTACTGTACCAGTAAAGCCTGTGGGATATTGTTCAGTTCTACCCCCGTCGGAGTCATGGTATAGTATCGCACCGGGGGCGTGCCATCCAAAAGGAAGAAGAGCGACGCTGTTCAGTTCAATTTACGGACCGGCCTTGGAGTGACATACCCTCTCAGACTGAACTAACCCACCAGAGACTGCGATGAAAATGCGAGCAGGAAATTACTGAAAGAAGAAAGAAACGATCGCACCCCGGTGCCACCATCTAGCGGCACTCCGCCTTTGAGCTCGGGGACTGCTTGAGCTCTCGCCGTTTTTTCGATACTCCACCTTTGAGCTCTGACAGGGCTTGCCTGATGCATGTGCTCTGTTCAACCGTACGACCGTGTTCCGTTGTTTGCCGTCGTGTGCTCCGTCCGTCCCCATCGCTGTAGGTCCGCCATGTTTGGGATCACGGTGGGCATGCTCACGGAGTACTGGACGGGGCAAAGCATCCCCCAGCAGATCGAGACGTTCGCGCAGCTATTGGGACTGTTGCCTTTGGACTACGATACGTACTTCCAGTAGCTGACTGACGATACACGCGGGACTCCTCCCCCAAGTTTCGTTTATGATATTGATACACGCTTCACGATCTCGATGCTGATCGACAGATGTGTGGTGTGTTGTAGTCTTCCGTGCATGCTTGAGCTTGAAGTGAGCCCCCCCTTGGCAGTAGCAATACCACTGCGTTTTACGACAAAATCGTGGGGCGTTGTCCATCGCGGTTTCGTGCTTGGTGGGTCTCTCTCACATTGGAAGGGATAAGACACTCGCGTGTCCTGACCCATCGTGCTACGACCGACAAGGGAGACATTGTAAGCTACACAAATGTCAGGAGAGTAGTGGGTCGATTGGGGAAATGGTTTGGGGTTGCTAGAGGCCAAACCAGCTCGTGCCTAAAGTCAACACTCGGTTTTTTCGACATCGATTGCGAGCCTGGGTAGTTTGATGTCGAGTCTCTAATAAAGTTCTCGCTGGCATTGGCTGTACCAGCTCTGTGCATTGTCCTCAGAGTGGGGTTAGCGAGGGCGTACATAGGTAAACGGGTTAGGCGGGACGAACGCAGGAGTTAGATTCATATCGCGTGGCGTTGAACTATTAATAGGTGAAGGAATTAGAGTATGCCAATCAGCTGGTTGCTTTCGCCACTATCTGAGGCTTTGCTCGTGGTCTCATTTTGCAGATTGGGTGCTAGATGTCCCTATCCGTTAACACTGGCGCACACGACACTTTTCGAGGAGTTTGATTCGTCGTGGTACTATTGTACTCCAGAAAACGGTGTCGGCTTGTCACGACCACGAGATAGATATAGAGAAACACCTGCAGGAACGGTTGCACGTGGCGTGTAGTTCTCGTAGGTCTCGCCAGGAGATAGCTGTTTGTGTTGTGGCCGTAGGTGCGCAACGGCTGTGTGATCGCTTCTACATCTTCTACGCAACAAAGAACTATTTACCAATCCACACGCGTAGTTCTGTTGAGCTCCTTTTTTTTGGCGACTCTCTCCCAGGGTGTTCGATCGTTCCCACACGCCCAGTGCTCAGAGGGCCGAAGTGCCAATTTTCGATAAGCCAAGGGCCTTCCATGTGCCGTGTTGGAAGCTGGGTTCACGCGAGGTTTCGAAGAGGTGCAATATTGTATCACTCCACTGGCGACTGCAAGAGCCTGGGAACGTGTTGGCAGTAAAATTTCTCCTCTGATTCACAGCCGAGCGCGGGCCATTTTGGTGTGTCCTCGATGGACGAACGCCTTCTTCTCAAGTGGCAAGCTTGTGACGAAGACAAAGAAAACTTCAGGCCCATTCTTCGCAAGTTCACTGTCGTTCAATTCAGCTCCATTCGTCTTGAAACAGTCTACACAAGCAGCACATGGACCCCCCGCCACCCCCCCCCCCCCCCNCTTCAGGCCCATTCTTCGCAAGTTCACTGTCGTTCAATTCAGCTCCATTCGTCTTGAAACAGTCTACACAAGCAGCACATGGACCCCCCGCCCCCCCCCCCCCCTCGGGGCAGAGGACACAGCCTTCCGTTTGACGGGGAAGAGCTCAAGTTCGAACGGCGTACCGACTCGAGAGGCCCAAAATTTGTCCGTAGGGTTAGTGTGGCGTGGTTGGAGTGAACCAGCTTTCGCAACGCCCACAACACGCCCCCCCACCTCCCTGCTTCCTGCACCTAAAACAACATCGAGCCACAATCAAGCATCATGCTCCGCCAGAGGCAACGTCGAACCTAGTAGTCAATGTTAAGTCAAAAATAGGAAAGCTGCGCCATAAAGGTACGCGTAGAGTTTTTGCTATCAGCGGTGGAAAATTGCGACATCACATCCACATCCAACTCGGGCCTCCCTCTAACACGGGTGGTGGCGGCGGAAAGAGTGAGGTCTATCCGTTTTCGACAAGAACCGTTACTCCCTCTCACTCTACCAATCTCGCCATAGCATCCAGAACAAGAACACGCACAGCAATACGATGGCCAGTAGAAACAACAAGTAACAACACGCAGACATATGGACTATTAATCCCTTTCAGATGCACCAATCCCCCTGGCTATTGTCTCTCCCACGCTTGTCCGGAAACACCTTGTCGATGTCGGGAGCGTCTGAACCGGTGTTTCGAGGGTTATGGTCCACAACCAACTTTAACAGCCCGGCCACCTCCTCCCGCCGGTTCTTCACGTCCACCAACCTGTGCTTCTGCCGCTCCAAGAACTCTGCCGCCATGCTTCCAACGGGGTGTCCCATGTACATGGTTGGGGGGACGTGAAATGGCGCTTTCTTTTTCTTTTTGCCTTCCGGCGACACGCCGTCAGCCATGCTGATACCCGTGCCTTGACGAACGAACCTGCGCGTTCCTCGCCTGGCAAAGGTGGTACCCACTGGTTCCTCTGACTCCCCCTCGCCGTCAAACCCCTCCTGTTCTTGTGCTAGAATTTCCACAGCTCCATCTCCCTTATTGTATTGACCATCTTCTTGTTCACCGCGAACGGCGGCTTTGCCCGCGTCAGACGCGTCCAGGCTCGACCCCTCCTCGTCCTGGCGCATGAGTGAAAAGGTGGTCATCCCGCTGTGCTTGTCCATCTCCAAGGTGGGGGGTGGGAGTTGCGACTTCGCGGGTACTGCTTCCGGACCCCCGCCGTCTTCCGCCGTATGCACCGCCGATGTTCCCTGCTGCTGGGACTCGTCACCATCAGGGGGTTTGGAAGGATCGCCAGTACTAGCCGTAGGGTCTACGGGGGAATCAGGCTTGACACTGTCATCTGGGGGTTCGGAAGAGTCTGCGATGACCCCTGGCAATGCCTGTTGTTGTGTCTCGTCAGCATGAGCGGGGTTGGATGGGTCCTTTGTGGCCGCTGGCAGTGCCTGCTGCTGCGGCTTGTTGTCACCATCAACGGCAGCGGCAGATACATCGGCATCGGTTGCGGCCCCACTGCCGACGTGCAGCTTCCCCTCCTCCCCCGCAGATGCTCCATCGGCAGTGCGTGCTGCGGGTGGACTTGATGACGGCGCTTTTTTGGCGTCATTGCCCGTTTGCATTTGCCCTTGATTCTTGTCATTGTTGGCAGTGTCTACAATGTCGCTGCTGCCATTCTTGTTGGGGGAAGCATGATCCTTGCCGGCATTTTCTCCTTCCACAGGGCTCCCCTCCGTTGGCACCACTTGAACCATGCCAGTCGACACCTCCAGCCCTCACCATTAACGTTGTGGCTCATGCAACCCAAAAGGTGAGAAACTGAGACATCATGTAACCACGTCGAGAGAGAGGTGTGACGAACACACGATCCTCGAGAAACAAAAAAAAATGCGGCATAACTCGTTTCCAAAAAAACATGGATAGTCTAGCCTTTATTCACCAAGATGTAAATGTATTCTACAGATGTACAGCAGCACATCCGTAGGTTTGTTGATGGGCGGCGGCAACAGGAGACCGTCAGTGTGTTCTGTTGAGCAATGGCTGAGCTCTCCAGGTCATGGATGATACGTTATCGCGTATCCGAAAAGACGAGGCTGGCTTGCCAGCAAGGACACGTGACTTGAAAGATAGAATGTTCTCATGATGTTGCCCCTTAAAAACCGCACACCAACCGTCGCCGATGGGGAACCTGGACGGGTTCGCGAATTGGGCCGCACCAATCAGCACTCAGCACGGCGGCGAAAGCGGCGGTATAATGATCGCTTTCCCCGTTTCCCCACCGCATCACCTCACGGGCAGCGAGAGACACCAAGCACGCGCTGATCTTTGTCCTGTTGTCATTTCCCACTCAGTGTATGCTCTGTATCCGTAGGTTCTGATGTTGTTGTTGACTTCCACACGCCGGTTGTGCCCGCTGGGGAGTGGCAGCGTAGTAGCGATGATGCGGCTGGGGACAAGACCGAGCTCTTCTTCCGCGGCTGGCGGCGGCAAAACCAAGCTCATTATCCTGGGGACGGGATGGGGCGGGTTTCGCGTTGGTAAGTCATTGGGTCACTGCTGGTGTGTTGCGAATTTGGCGTGGGGTCTCCTCTGTCTCTCGTTTCCATCCCGTGACTTTCATAATTGCTGCTGTCCTTTTGTTTGGAAACTGGCTTTAGGTTCAGCGGAGCCAGCGTGCATGTTCCGCGTACTCCTCGCCTGGCTACAGACGCAGCGGCGTTGGGCGTTTGACTCACACGCATGGAGACTTCTGCTATTTCAATGGAATGGCGGCGTGTATGTGATGAGTAGCCGTACAGTTATTCCGGGAGCGAAAGTGCTGTACTGTAGGTACACACGAGATTCGTGATGTTGCTTAATACGTGTGACTAGCGAAACATCGACACTCGACTACATTGCAAAAGCCGTGTTCAAAGGCAGAGGAGCGCATAGCGTGATGTCGCCGTGCTACAGAGCACATGTGATGTTGTCTAAACGCCCGGCGCTAGTCCAAACCAAATGACATGCATGATGTCGTCTGGTGTTGCCGCAATGGCCGGTTTGTAGCCCGCGAGGTGGACAAGAAGAAGTACGACGTGACCGTCATCAGCCCTCGCAACCACTTCCTGTTCACGCCACTGCTTCCCTCGACCACCGTCGGGACTCTCGAGTTCAGGTGCGAACGTGTGAACCAATGCCTTGCTTCTGAATCGTTGCGATAAACATTCGGCGGTAACGCCCGTTCGTTTGGGCCATCTGGGAAACGTTGGCGTGTTGGCGGCGGCCAGGTGTGGGGTGCAAGGACATGTTTTATCGTTTCCGCGTCGGACACGGAACCTGGTGTCGTTTCTAACGCGCGTGCCTACATATGTACGATCCCTAGTCACAGAGGCACGCGGATCTCGTGCGACCGTAGGGCACGAACACCTCCCGACACTTTCCATTTGCTTTTTGTCATGTTTTTTCTCTTCATTGCGCACTTCCCTCGTGCACTCTACAATAGAGAGATACACACACGGCTATTTGCTGACAGCTCACCTGACATGAGTTCCGGGAATGTATTTGTGCAGGTGTATTCAAGAGCCCGTTCGCACAATCAAAGGGCTCCACTACCTCCAGGCATCGGTCCTGAGTGAGTACCGTTTACCTTCCTTTGTCCATCGAAAGACCGAAACGTACCGAAAGAGATGCGAGCCTGGGCAACAACTGAACAACACGATTTTGCTTACCGACATTTGCAAGTGATACGCGTAAGATTGGTGTTGGGAGCCGGGGACTTGGTATGGCATACGACAGTCTCAAACATGAACCTCGTTGACTGCAATATCATATGCCTGTTCGTCGTTGTTTTACGCGCAGCCGGTTTCCCTTGTACCATCGCGATCGGTCTTTCCCCTCCTCGTCTTTGCTAATAGTGCGGCATCCAACCCTCTGAGTTGTTTCCCCCTCGAGAAGGGCTCCTCTCGAATCCCTCCCCCGCTCTCAGCTCTCCTTGGAATATTCCTTCGCACACAGTTGGACCAGAACGGACATTAGAAGGTACTGAGCGGAGACCGGAACGGTTTTTAATGTGAAGGCAACAATAACAATAACAACAACAACAACAACAACAACAACAACAACAACAACAATAACAACAACACTGTACTCTACTCTGTACGGTTTTTGAACTCACGCCCTTTCATTGTTGCTCTGGGCTGTCAACGATCTGATGTCGAGTACCCTCCGCCGCCGTTTCTTCACTTGTCATCGATAGGCGTAGATTTCGAGTCCAAAACCCTGCGATGTCAGGAAGCGTTCAAGGGCACGGAGCACGAAGTCGACTACGACTCTCTCGTTATCGCTACCGGTGCTAAGAACAATACCTTCGGTGTGCCCGGCGTCAGCGAGGTGTAGATGGCTTTCTGTTGTCAGATTGGATGTGCGATTGTATACAGATTTGTAATTTGTTCTTGTGATTCGTTGGTGGTCGCTGGGCTCTTCGAGCCAATATCACGTCAGCTTTGTTGTGGGCTTGTCGAGCTTGGGAAAACGTCACTGATGGCAGGTAGCAGTTGACTCACACCAACAACAACCTTGCATCACGCCTTGATGACACTACCATTACTACTACAACTATGCTCTGATGAGCCAGCCCACTTCGGAGGCAGGCCTTGTAGCGTACGTGTACCCATTGACCAACCTAGCGCTTACGGTAGGGGCTATTGTACTTGCCCTGACTGGGGGTCTCGGTGGAGGAGTTGTCCGTGTTAAGGTACTGTCCCATACCGGCAGGGGCGAGAGAAAGGCGTGCTTTAGAGTAGAGGTATCGCCGTCATACAAGTTTGTGTCGTTTGGGCAGACGGTTTTTCGCGCGTACAACAGTGTGCGAAATACCTTCCTTGTGCTCTTCGAGAACAGTTTTTTTTGTCATCACAGTTTCGGTAGCGGTGCTTGATGTCGTCGTCATGTCTTTGTACGGTATACGTTTATGCCAAGCGCACGCGCACACGTCGCTCTTGAGAAAAATACGATCCCATGATTGGGAATTTTGTTCTGGGGATATTTTCCATGGGAGTGAGACAAGTTGAATGACCACGTGGTGTCTGTGAAGAATGGATGTGGAATATGGATCCATGGTGAGCAATGTGGGGAAAATGATCCATACTAAAAACAAGCCCGGGAGTTCCGGTTGTTCTTGTTGTCTTTGCCTGACGTACACTATATTTAAATGGAATATGTTATTGTCATGTGCATGCTCTCTTTCTTTCTCTCTCTCTGTTTCTCTCTCCGTCTCCCTCTGTCTCTGTCTCTGTTGGTATTGTCTCATTCTCACTCCCTCTCTCTGCCCCCCCCCCCCCCCCCCCCCCCCCCCCCCCCCCCCCCCCCCCCCNACTAAGGAAAATCACGTGTTCTTTTTGAAGCAGCTCAGCGACGCCCGCAACATCCGCAACCGCCTGCTAGAATGCTTCGAGCGGGCCGCGAGCCCCTTCATCTCCGAGGAGGAGGGGTCTCGGCTTTTGTCATTCGTCGTTGTCGGCGGGGGTCCGACATCCATCGAGTAAGAAAACCAAGTTTATTTATCCACAGAAAAGGAGGCATTCGTTGAGAGCGTCACGTGGTTTATTAGTTGCTAGATCGAGTACGCCAAGTCCAGGAGGGAAGAAGACGCCCATTTTATTGGAGAATACTTTCACAGATGAAGTCTGGGTGGAGTAAGAGTACGACCGACATCGTACAACGGGATTTTTGCACCATTGAGTGGGAATCCCGGTTCACCGAGGACCTGCGTGAACTGTTAAAACTCGGCAGTTCAGATGTGAGTTATGTGCGAGTTTTGTGGCTGTATTTCAACTTGTTTCGCCTTCGACTACTCCTTTTTCAAGGTACGCGGCCGAGCTGCATGACTTTTTGAGGACGGATGTGAAGAGATGGTACCCAGACTTACAACACAAGGTGACACAGCAGCCCTGCTTGTAGCGGGGGTGGGAGTTCCCAGTACTTTTTTTTTGTCGTTGTCGTTGTTGTTGTTGTTGTTGCCGCTGTTTAAAGCGTTGTGGTGTGCGTCGGTGATGTTGCGGGTAATGGGTTGGTGTTGTACGAGAGAGACAATCAATCCACTCTTGGCCCCCTTCTTGTCCGTACTGCTTGTCCAACGAATCGTCACTCTCAACCAACCGGTGTCGATCACGTGTACCCCACGCTCTTCGCCTTGTTGTTCCTGCCGACACCTAACAACGACATGCGTTCATTCCAGGTGTCGGTTCATCTGGTCGAGGCTAGCGACCGCATCATGGGCAGTTTCGACGAAAAGCTCATCAGCTACACCACTCGGCTTCTTGAGAACCGCAAGGTATAATGTATGCGTCCGTATTTCTCAATCCTTGCTTCTATGCGCTCGAATGAACACCCTTCAAAGCAACACTCAAGAAATGGTTATCCAAGGTGAAGGTCTACCCCCGACACCGAGGATCTTAACGTATTCACGTCTTCGCCTGCCGCTGTTGTTTCATGGAAACGCACTATTGTAGTAGCTTGCCAGACGTCGATGCAGTTGCAATCAATTGCAGTTGACCATCGAGCAGATCCCTCAGTCCTCTCGATTCGATATCCCCCAGTTCGTGGTCATGCACACAAGTCACGTATTCTCGTGTTCATCCGTATCGACGTTCGAAGGTGGAAGTTCTGCTCAACACATCCGTGGCGTCGGTGGGGCCGACGGAGTGCACTCTTGATGATGGCCGCAAGTTACCGTTCGGGCTAATGGTAAGTTACGCTTCGTTTTGCTCGTTTTTTTTCCGCGCTCCCGAGATGGCTGTTACGGGTGGGGGAATTTATCACGTTTGCAGTTGGCTGAAACTTGAACACCATGCGCTATCTCTACCAACATGGGAGTGCGTGCAAATCGTCCGTTGAGTTGTTCACCTCCCGAAATCTAACCAACCAACGCTTGCTGAACGATTGGGGCTACTGGCGTCGTAGCTTGTCGCACCGGTCAAAGTACGCGCTGTAGTAGCCTGTGCGTAATACTCATGTGCAAGTGTCCTTACCTTATAATCTACGTGTTGTACGATACCGAGCAGAGAGCGGACCGACGTTGGATGTGAAGACTATATCAACAACGACTGAATTATTGGTCTTGTTCCAGGTGTGGTCGACCGGCCTAGCCCCCACGGAGCTCGTCTCTTCGATGGAAGGGGTCGAGAAAGAGAGGGGCAGGATCAAGATCGACGGGCGGTTGAGGGTTCCAGGGATGGACGGCGTTTTTGCTTTGGGGGACGCCGCGGCCAACCCCGAGAATCCGCTGGGGCCACTCGCGCAAGTTGCCGATCAGCAGGGCAAGGTGAAGGGCCGCTCGGTGTACGTTTTCGATGGTTTATTTCGCGCTGAGTGCGGGAAACAAACGCAGATGAGGACTTGTGGCCGCCAAGCAAGCGCGGTGGTTCTAGCCGAATTACATGGTTGGGTTGACAGGAAAAGTAATCGTTGCATCCCTCGTCGTTTAGCCATGTTTGGATTTAGCCGCTGACCACAGAAATCCCTTTCATTGTCTTGAGGATCTGTTGGGGTGTTGAACACGAGGTGTCCAGGCAGAGATCAGAACGACATTTATGTTGTAACTACGTCAAGAGGTAGCAGCACATACAAGCCAATGACTCTTGACACTCGTTCATAACAGAACGCTCCACCATCATTTAAGAACATAAAATAAATAGTTCAAGAGTCCGAGGGTTGCGTTCTTTACGATATGTGAGTCTGGACCCCGCTTCACACACAAAACCTATGTTGTCTCTGTTGGGATACAAGCCCCCTTCGACGGTTGCCCACACCAAGAGATTCTTAATTAAAGACGAGCACGTTTTATGTGTCTCCCCCTTTTCCCATCCTCCGGTAACTCGACGACGACCATCACGGCAGTACCTGGCGAAATGCTTCTCCAAGAGCAGCGACGTTGGCCATTCCGACATGCCTCCGTTCTACTATCGTCACCTGGGTTCGATGGCGCAAGTCGGCGACTGGAAAGCCATCGCAGACTTGAAAGGGGTACGCGGTGGCGGTGGCAGTGAGGCAGGAGGGCCTGTTCTGGATGGGTTCCTGGCGTTCGTGACTTGGCGAAGCGCATACTGGACGAAGACCGTGAGGTAAGTTTTCTCGTGATTTATGTTGCTCGTTCATGGTGTACTGTGCGCGTCAGCCTGTACCCTCGGCTGCATTCGCTCCTGGGGTAGAAAGGTAGAGACATGAATGAGAGGGCGATAGCGGCAGTGATCACATGACAAACAAACATCGCTGAAGAATTTGAGTTCGCGCTCGGCCCACAGCCCCCCCCCCCCCCCCCCCCCCCCCCCCCCCCCCCCCCCCCCCCNCCCCCCCCCCCCCCCCCCTCCCCCGCTGCCCTCGTCTCGTCTGGTTAGCGTTGCCAACAAGGTGTTGATACCGATGCACTGGTTCAAGGCATGGGCTTTCGGGAGAGACATCAGTCGCTTTTGAAACGGGAAGAAAGCAGATTCACTTGGTGTCGAATGGAAGGACTGACTCCCGCCTGTTCTCGAAGCTCGTTCGTTGCGCAAGATAGAATCATGTACTTCGGATCGGCGACGGCAAGATGGTACCAAGTAGCAGCTGTTTGGCCCACAGCGCAGATTTCGATGGTGCGCCAAGAGGGGAAAGGACGCGAGGAGGCGCTTTTTCGGGGGCGGGAGGGGGCAACCTCGCCACAATTCACTAAGTTGCGGAGCATACCGAAAGATGAACGTAGCGAGAGGCTGGCAGCGCCGGGTATCTAGGAGAAAAGGCAGATAGTTGTGACATCCCATGTTTAATCCAAGAGTACGTCGTCGTGGTCGGTATGTGCTCCCGCTTGCGCACACGTCGTATGCATTATATAACATTTTGACGGCGTTGCACATACCAAAATTATGACAAGTGGCAGGCAACGGTCAACACGTACAAAGATAGTCTACTTTGAAGCTTGGAGATGCGTTTGTCCGCGTCGACACAGAGAGACCTCCGTCTTTGGTAGACAACAAAGAAAAGGGAGCTTACAACCAACCATAGGTATGCTGTAAGGGCGGAACGTACAGCAAGTAGTCACGGAGGTGAGCTTGCAGGCAAGCATTTACTACCATGTAGATGCCGCCCCCGCCCCACACAAACAAACCTGTGTTAAGGACAGTATTTCTCCTGACTTGGACATTTTCCTATGCACACAATGTGTGTCAGTCCTGAAAAACCCTCTTTGGAGTCGATCCTACAAGGACAATGCGAAACTTCCATCGAATTGCCACGGGCTGGCCACAAGAGGTTGCCAGTTGAGGGTAATTTCTGTGGGTGGAGAGTGTTAAGCAGGACGGATCCGATTCGAAAGGGTATCTACAGTATCTGTAGCTTGACTTTTACCAGAATATGTACACCTTCGCGCCTGCTCCAGAACAAGAACCTGGCGGGCCCGGCACATCCCGTCGTAATATGTTGTTGTTGTTGTTGTTGCCTTCACATCGAAAACCGTTCCGATCTCTCTCTACCCAGTACCTTCATATGTCCGTACTGATTCAACACTTGACGCTGTCGATTCCCGTGGTCACACAGGCTAACTTACCCTAAAAAGGTACACTCAAATAACTGGCCCCGAGAGGTCCGCAAGTCATTAGAAATCAACACAGATATTCTGGAGTCCTCCGCTCCCTCTCAGAACATCAAGGACGAGGACGGCAAGGTCCTCCGGGACCCCACGTTGATTCGCCAACGATGGGCACGGTGGTTCCACAAGCTTCTCAACACCAAGTCGCCGACCATCGACCTGCATGCGGCTGACAAGGTCAAGCGGTGGCCCACGTGCGTGCCACTCGACGACATCCCATCTCTACTTGAGGTTGAGGAAGCGGTACGGGAAATGGCCAACAGAAAGGCCGTCGGGCCGGACGANTACTACAAGCGAGAGAGCATGGAGGAGCAGAGCGGTTTCCGCCCTCACCGGTCGACGCTCGACATACATGCTGTTCGCCATCCAGCCGCTCCTTGAGCTCGCGAGGAAGAAGAGTTCTGCGGTGTTCGCGTGCTTCGTCGACCTCACCAAGGCATACGATTCGGTGGACCGAGACCTACTGTGGGACGTGCTCCGACGCTTCGGCGTG